AATATAATGAAACTTCAGATCACACAAGCATCTGTCTCTCGTTTGAAACATATTACAATGAGCTAAAAAACATGATCCAAGAGGATTTTACAGGCCAGCCTGTGCTGAAAGCAGAACAGAGGACCAGCAAACATGTGAGATGTACTAAAAATAAGTTTCATTTTCCCAACCATCTCCAGAGGGAAATTATGAACTAGAAATGAAAACAAAAAGAAAGACAAGACCCTGCAGAACAGCCTCAATGGTTTGATTCTGAATATTAAGATAATAAATGCACAACTGAAATTTCAGCCTGTTTCTCACACCAAACTATTTTAGAGCTTGGAATAAAGTGAACAAGTCATGTGGACTGCTTTTTTTGGAGCTTGACAGGCCCAGTCCTCATTCGTGGTAAAGAACAGACAAAACGTTTTTTCAAAAATTCACCTACTGTGCTCTACCGAAAAATAGAAGCAGTATTAGTTTCAAACAACATCCTACCATTTAAATGTTTGGAGTCAGCAAGTTTTTTTTTTTTATTAATACTTTTATTGAGCAAGGATGCATTAAACTGATCAAAAGTGACAGTTAAAACATTTATATTGTTCAAATAAATGCCGTTCTTTTTAACTTTGTATTCAGCAGTGTAGAGTAGGACTTGTTGTTTGTCATTTCTCCGATCACAAATGCAGACAGGGTTTTATGTATACGCAGCGCGTTTTTCAGACTGATGAGCTTTGTAAAAATCAATGCATTTCTGAAAGGCGGGGCATAGAGGAGAATCAATAATGTACATTATGTGGAAAATAATGTGTTTTTTTTTACTTTAAACCACATAAACACATTTCATTACACCAAATAATGTTCTTTTTAGCAACATCATATGACCCCTTTAAATAAAACAGACAAAATGTTTGCTCTGTGCTGACTAGAGTAAAGAAAATGATATGTAAATGGAATAAAACAAAATTTAAAACAATTATGGACTGAAATGAAATTAAACACAATGCACACAAAAATAAACAAAACAAAATAATACAAGTAAATATAAAAAACACAAGTAAATATAAAACAATAAAACCAAACCTAAACAAAATGCACACACACACACACAAACAAACATGAAACAAAACAAGTAAAAAAAAAAGTCTTGCAATTATTAGCTTTTCATAATATGAGCCATATTTTTTCTTAGAAATCTGATGTTTCAGTCAAACTGATCATGAACTCACCTGATTTATCTGCTGGATAAGGTCCTCGGCCCCCACCTTCACACTCCCCGTCCCTGAGGTTGTGAAGTGAATGTCTTTGTTGTAAAACAGACAAAATGTTTGCTCTGTGCTGACTAGAGTAAAGAAAATGATATGTAAATGGAATAAAACTAAATTTAAAACAATTATGGACTGAAATGAAATTAAACACAATGCACACAAAAATAAACAAAACAAAATAATACAAGTAAATATAAAACAATAAAACCAAACCTAAACAAAATGCACACACACACACACAAACAAACAAACAAACAAACATGAAACAAAACAAGTAAAAAAAAAGTCTTGCAATTATTAGCTTTTCATAATATGAGCCATATTTTTTCTCAGAAATCTGATGTTTCAGTCAAACTGATCATGAACTCACCTGATTTATCTGCTGGATAAGGTCCTCGGCCCCCACCTTCACACTCCCCGTCCCTGAGGTTGTGAAGTGAATGTCTTTGTTGTAGCTAGCGGAGAACGTAAGGTGACCATTTTTTGATATCATACGAGGCCTGCAAATGAATTACCAGGTAACTTTGGAGGACAAGTATAATTTCTAACTTGCAGTAGAATTAAAAACCTTCATTGTTAAAAAAAACAATAAAATCATCCGTTTCATGTTAAAATCTTCACATTGAAGCACAACATATTCATACAATTATACAGAGAGTTGCAGCAGGGAAAACTCAAAACAAACCCTGACCAAGCTTTTGAAACTATGAGAACTGATCTAATACAATTCCAGGTGGTCTCGAACAAGGCAATGTATCAATCTTTCAAGCAAACTTAAAATATTTCATTTAAAATACATACTGGTCAGTGCTGATGTCCCTTTTTTGCTTGTTGTTAGATTTACCACCATGGTCACACTGCAGTCCAGAGAGGAAAAGGAGAAAGTCTAAGGGCCAGGAGAAGCTCAGTGCCCGAGTCATACTGAGAGAGCTTGTCCCAGGATGCTCATCAGACACCGTACTGTACCTTCACACCTTACCCTGCCTAAAACACAAACAGCCAGAGATGTAATTTGGCCCCAAGGAGTCCTAACACCACTGAAGTTCCTAAAATCACTCATAAAGAAGCATTTAACTCAGCTGCATGCAAGTGATTTGACTTTATTGGGCAAGTGTCAGTGGCTGTCATGTTTTCTTGGAGACCAAAGTTAAGACTGTGGACCTGCTGCTTAGGGCTCATTCTCTGAATATGAACAGCTTCACAGTAAATTACCCATTAAACCTGATATAATCGTCTATTTAAAACATATTTTAATCTATATTTCCACAGATCTTTTGTTTGGTGTTATCAAATGAAGGAAAAAATAATCATTTCAGACTTTGCGGCAATAATAAAAAAAAACGAATGTTTTGTAAAAATAGATTTTTATTTATTATCCAACAAATCCAACAATATACCAAAGAAAGATGTTATATATAGTGTATACATATATATTCCCTATAGAACTTCTTTCATTCCATCTAATGTCTAATCTCAAAGTGTCTATTTTGAGATCAGGAGACGTATTAGATGTGAAACCACATGGACGTTCAGGTTGTTTCCCAGCACACGGTACTGCTGCTTAATGGAAATGTGCTTCGGAAATGCTGAAACACACAAAATATAAAAAAAACAGATGACATTTCATAGACAACTACCATAATGGGTTACACTTTACTTGAAGGGGTGTGCATAAGACTGACATGACACCTTCATAATCATGACATGACACCTACATAATCATGACATGACACATGTCATGAATATGAAGGTTTTTTACCTGATATAATCGTCTATTTAAAACATATTTTAATCTATATTTCCACAGATCTTTTGTTTGGTGTTATCAAATGAAGGAAAAAATAATCATTTCAGACTTTGCGGCAATAATAAAAAAAAACGAATGTTTTGTAAAAATAAATTTTTATTTATTATCCAACAAATCCAACAATATACCAAAGAAAGATGTTATATATAGTGTATACATATATATATTTCACTAAATGCTCAGTACTCCCTTAAAATGCCCCATGTCACAAAAACGGACTGAATTCTTGACTATTATATGGTAAAAAGCCTAGGAGTCTTTCTAAAAACAAACTCTGACATCATATGCAACTGTTTTTGAATTGAATCGAGTCCTGAAATTATCTGCATGGAAGCCACGAGTGAATAATGGGAAGTTATTTATTAAACTTGTGGACTTTAAAACTTATTTTGCTGAAATATTACAGCAAAAAAGGACATCTATGCATATCTGTTTATATTAATGTTAAGTTCGAGAAGATTTCATGTGATTTTATTGGTTGCTATGAGGGGAGAATGGGGTCAAAGTCTTACTGAAATCTGCAGGAAAGCCCATAAGGCTGACGATCTGTCTGGGTGTGAAGTATCTCAGCTTTAACTGAGAAAGCTGCTTTAGTTTGTCTTCTTCAGAAAGCAGCTCCGAGCTCTTAAACACACCCTCTAGCTCCACATCCACACAGGACTGCAGGACGGAGCCCGTGCCCTCCACATAGTGACCATAACTACACAGAAACAATCAACAGTTATGATCAACAAGGGTATTAGCTGGGGAACCATTTCAAAGAACAAATTCATCTTGATAATGTCAGATAACATTTAAGCAAAACATGGTCAGGTCAAAGTGTTTGATTAATTTTTGGTCCCAAATTTTTATCAATTTTACTAGTAGTCCACTGTATGAAGAATTTTTGGTATAATAAGTCACAGTTTTCTTTATTTTGCTATCCTCACTTAGAACTTACTCACTAACCTCACTTTGAACTATAGTGACCTGCACCCACTGGTAAGAAAAAAAAAAAAAAAAAAAAAAAATGGGGGGGGGAAAAATTCATATATATATATATATATATATATATATATATATATATATATATATATATAAAACATATTATTAATAATAATAAATTATTAATCATAATAATTAAAACAATTTATTAAGTATTCATCATAATAGATACTAACACACACCCTTTAGTGAAGCAGACTGATCTCCTGCTGCTGGGCTGAACTACATCCATCAGTAATGGGTATCTGAGCAGAGTTTTGGGGGGGGCAGCAGACACTGATCCAGATGTTGTTTCCTGACTGTCCTGGATCCTCTTCCTTTCCAACTCTTGTTCTGTCTCCAGCTTAAAAATGATCGTCCCAGTCTTGTCTCTTTCACACTCAGATGATGTAGGGTGACTGTGTGGAACAGCGAGACTGTTTAGGGACTCAGACATGGGGAAGCCCTCTATAATCTGCCAGCAGAAGAACAGCTTTAGTATTCAATAGCAAATGTATCGCGGTGCCCGAGTTAGAATAGATCTAAACAGAAAACTACCTCTGCTGAAGTTGGGAATGAGAAGGATCCTGGTGGTCTCCTTGCAATGAGGAAATATCTGAGCCTAGAGTTTGGGATCCCAAGCTGTGGCAATAAACACCATCACAAAAACAAGACTGGGATACACTTTCTGAGATATTTAAGA